CCTTAGGAATCTTTACTGATTTTTCCAAAGTCAGAAGACATTTCTATGGTCAAAAAGCTTAATTTTTGAAATATTTAATATTATTTTAATTTAAAAATGGTAAAAACTAAAATTAAAGTCTGGAAAATGTAAAATTTTGTTTGATAGGTTTACTATGGTCAGAGGATTTTAGAAAAAATAAAATAAAAAATTGTAAAATTTTCAAGCCATTTTTCCTATTTAAAATTAATAAAAATCACTAAAAATTTTAAAAAAATGTATATGAAATAATTCAATAATTAACAAAATGGGCCAATTTGTAGATAATCATCTAAGAGGCCTTTTTAAAAATTTGGAAGCCACATAAAATTTTTTTAATGTAAATATGTATTTTCAAAAGTAAATATTAATTTTGGCTTAAAATAATTATAATAAATAAAAGAAAAATAAAAAAATATATATGAAAATTTGTTTGGAGTGTTTCTTTTGACCAGAGGGACCTAATAAAAATAGAATAGGGATTAAAATAAAAACTTTATTTTTTAGCTATTTTCTAATTTTAAAATAATTAAAAATACAAAAAATACCAAAAATATAAAAGTATTCCAAATTATCCTAAATGCCACCCAAATCATTGAAATAACTTAAAGAGGTGATTGAAAATTTTTTATGGTGTAAAAAAGTTTTTTAAATAATTAAATGCATTTTTCTTAATTTATGAATAAAATAATTACATTTAATAATTAAAAATCACAAAAAATACAAAATTTACTTCTTTGGATTCCTTGGGATTAGAGAGACTTATAAAAAATATAAAAATAATTTTTTTTCAAATAAAATATATTTTATATTTATTTATTCATTAAAATTAATAAAAAATTGTAAAAATTAAAATATAAGTAAAAAATACACAAAAATTATTCCTAGTGACCCTTTGACCTAAATGAACTTCTGATAAGTACCTTAAGGATAGAAAATTTATTTTAATTGGCTAAATTAATTATCTTTGAAAATCCCTGTTTTTGAACTTAAATAATTATTAAAAATTAAATAAAAGTCAGAAAAATATAAATTCTCTTCTAATATTCTAATAAACCCATGAGTAGAGTAACAACAAAGCTTCAAATTCAATTGAGTTAAACTTATGGAATTATGATGTGGAGACCCCTACGGGCAAAGTGGTAATTAAGGAATTTTTTAACCATAATCAAAATTTAGGGTAAACCAAAGGGTAAAAGGACAATATTGATCATGATTAGTTCTTTGACATGATGGAAACATAAAGGGTTAAAGGATAGAAACCAACTCATTCTAACTCATTCTATTTTTCATTTTTTCATACAAGGGTAAAAATGTATTTCCTAAATTATTGTGTTTTGGAAGTTAATTAAATTGGATGAATCTAAGGTGAAGGGCTTATGTTAGGAAGATAATAACTCATTAATTTGAAGCCCTATGTCAATGATTAAGTGAGGATACATTCTTTTAATAAGGATTAAGTTCATCTCATTCAATCTTTTTTTCAAAATTGCAAATTTACTCATAAAGACTTAAGAGCTTGATAGTGAACTAAGTTTGATCCAACATCACTTAATGAGGCTTAGAGGATAATACAATTAATCATTAACACTTGTCAAACACTACAAGCTCAATTGCAGTTGAAAGAGTAAATATTCCTTAACAACTTAACCTGCCTTTCAGGATGTTCACCCACATAATTTCTAAGTGAAACGTCAAATGAATTGCATCCCACTCATGGATTAATTAAGATATTAAAAGTTTACTGAGCAAAAGTTAAAATAGTACAACTAAATTAACTAGGAGTGATCATTCCAACAAAATAATAAGTCTGTGCGAACTCGAGGTGATTCAAAAGATTCTAAAAGATGTTCACGGTCAATCCCCGAGCACTTTTATAACCTTCTGAACATTTTGAAGGGCATTCAGACCTATTATTCTTTGTTGAAGAAAATTATCCATAAAAACATTAGGGATCCACCAAGGTATGCATCAGGACCTGCCAATACCCTAATTCTAATGAAGTACCCTACACTACTCATCCTACAGTCATGCCTAATAAGTCTTGAATGTGATATTTAGACCCTAATGAGCAACTGTGGATATTTCTGTCACATATAGACCATCAAACTTGTGTAAGTCTGAGGTCTAGGTGCAAGGGCGATGATGGCATTGCTTATGTGTGCTAAACAAGGAATGCGAAGTGAGATTTTGGAATAGTATCTCCTACCTCAAGGTTTCTCAATAAGGAGAGAGATATGACCGATGATACTATTCATAAACTTTTTGTGGGAGATGCCCATGGCATTCTTAGGTTGCTGGTAGTCGTAGCTTGATTAGAGTAATTATCCTGTGGATTATATTATTTTACAAAAATATATTTAAGAAAACAAAAATCTCTTTCACAATGACATTGCTTTTGCTTGCCAAAGTAAAATTCACATGGATGAAAAATTAAATGATTTTGATGAAAACCTATAAAAGTCCACGGGTTAATCATTCTGATTGAGGTTAAGGACCGCCCTTCCTCGAGTTGTTAGGATGGTGACTACTGTCATAGTTGGAAATAGAAGGCACACAGCTTGACTCTGAGCCCTCATTTTTACTAAAGCTTTTCACTTAATCCCAGTCTTTTATATGTGATTGCGGGTTTTACTCATTCGTGCTTTCTTATGACCCGTTGTTCAACCTTTTCATATCGGATTTTCTTGCTTTCTTTTCCTGCAATTTAGTTAAATTCCCTACAACTATATTATGCTTTCTGATACTAACCATGCAGCAGCAGCAAGAGTGTCAGGAACGCATTTACAGTTTATTTATTGCAATTTTAATACTTTATCTTATTGTCACTTTGCTTTACTATGCATGCTTTACCTGTGAAACAAAAATACACTTTCAAAAAAAATTAATAAACCTTTAAACCCCTTTGAACACACTTAATGTACTCTTCTTAAATTGATTAGAATATCTCGAATGAGGTAACTACAGTTGCTAATGAGAATTCTCTAGTCTAAATGAGCTTGACAGCTAGTATAAATTAAGTAAATTCAAAAGAAAATAGTGATGTCGGGACAACGACATTGCGGGATCTTGACTGGTGTCATTTAACTTGAAATAAAATTCCCCTCTAAACCTTTTAATAATAAAATTTATTAATAACAAAAACAAACTTCAAACCTTGGAGCTACGACTACAGCAAGGAACTCGAAGCAAGCTTTGTGGTCAACATGACTTGGATGCAAGAAAATAACATCTTTGAGAGAGCAAAATTGATCTTCATCAGCAAAACCTTCCCTTAGTTTAACAACATTAACCCATAGAACTTCGAGGTAGTCTGCCTAGTGCGACTTAAATCCTCACATTATCTTTAGGTCTTTGCACAACCATGATGTACAATTTAAGCCTTTACCCTTTTAGTACTTTGAAGTTGTCATTCAGTATGACATAAATACTCATATCTTCCAGATTATTTATATGATCATATATCATGCAAATGTAAGTCCTAAGTAATAAAAATGACATGATGAAATATCAAGTAATATCATCTTCAAAACCAAAGTCAAACCATAAAATAGTTTAGGAAGCCACCGAGGTTCTCCTCAAGATTTGTGACATCCCCTACTTCTCTTTCCTTCATATTCCGAAAATAATTGCTCATATTTGATCTGCTCCTATTTGGTTTTCTATGTCATATCTTGAACACTAAATTTTGTATTCTTGAAGACAAACACCTCTGGTCATTATCGAAAGTTTTCTTAAGTGACTTCGGTCGCTTAAAATGTAATTAACTATAGAAGTTTGCCTCTATAGGTAACTGAAGAACTCAGGTAAAATAAACCCTGTTTAATCCTTATATTAGATAGGGGAACTTATCAACCATTATATAAACGAATGTCATAAACTATCTTATTTTATTTAATCAAGCCCGCTGACAAGTGACATGTCTACTCTTCGGGATAGGTGTATTGCTTGTGGTGTTGTGCTCGGACGTTGAAACTATTAAAATGTATGAGATCTATTTGGTCTCACATTTTCTTAAATAATACATTTTCAAAATCAAAATTACATATATAGATATACATTAAATTAAAACAAAAATCACTTTTCAAGAAAAAAATCCTAGCCGACAAAGGTGTGAGCCCATTTGCACATAACACAAGTCTGACGTTGCAAGGTTCTACTGTAAAATCCAGATAACTGTGGTCGAAATGTTTCAAAGTTTTACTAGTTGAGACATGAGTCATTGTACTAGCATTAACAGATCGAGTACTATGTCATGTCGTGTGGGTAGCTGTGGGCACAGAAACAAACAGTCGTTGGAGCCATAGAATGAGAGAAAAATAAAAGAGATGTTTGTAAGAAATATTCTTCTGGTTTTTACTCTTTATTCCTTTTAGTTTGAACCTATCAATATTGCAAAATCTGCATTTTGTCTGTTGTGCATTCTCCCTGTAAAATAACATACAATCGTTGAAAAATAAGATTATTAATTAACTAAAAAAATTGGATTTAATTTACACAAATCATCATTTTTCAACTCAAAAACATGCACGGTAGATAAAAATTTCGCATACCACTTGCAAAAAATAAATTAATTAATGACCTAAAACTCCTGTTATACCCTTGCTTAATTTATTAATCTCCATTACTAAAACCTAAAACCATTACAAGAGGTGTAATTGATATGAAATCTTTGTCCCTAATGAGACCGACAAAAACGAATTCCATCACTATTGTTGGCTGCCAAGGAGTCATTCCAACACCTTTTCCTCACTATAAATACTCACTGTTTCATTCATCTCTTCTCTCCATCTCCTTCTCTCTAAATGACCCTAAAGGAATCAGGCTTGTCTTTTCTAATGACAACCGCCCCTTGCCTTCTTGCCTTGGTTTTCTCAATCTTAAGTTTCTTAATCTACTTCTACTTACCCTACTGGAAGGTGAGGAAAATCCCAGGACCCCCAGCCAAATTTCTTGTGGGACACTTGCCCTTGTTGGCTAAGTATGGACCAGATATAATGAGAGTATTTGCTAAGAACTATGGTCCTATTTTCAGGTAATTGCAGTAAATTTTATGCAGATAATGACTTATATTTTCTTTTTTGTTTTTGGTACAAGAGTTGCTAGAGATTAAAAATGTTCATGTTGGTGGTATGGGATAGATTTCATATGGGGAGGCAGCCGCTGGTTATAGTGGCTGATCCAGAGCTTTGCAAGGAGGTTGGGATTAAGAAGTTTAAGCAGATTAAGAACAGAAGCAGTCCTACTCCAACTTGTGGATCTGCCATGCACCAGCAAGGGCTTTTTCTAACAAGGTATATATATGAGGCAATTTGATTTTGTTGTTTTTTTAATGTCTAACTTATATCGATTTTTAGTATGAGATTAGTGTTTGAAGGGCGTACTTTTGCATAGTACTAGAATCATATTTTTTGTGCGAGGGTCCGTTTGGGGCAGCTTGTGCGTTTCGGGATAAACTGTTTATTCTGAAACGCGGCCCGCGGGCCGGCCCCAAGGGTCAACCCGCGGTCTGCATTTAGTGTAAAAACTCAAACGCAGTTTCGGATAAGCTGGCGAAACGCGCGAACCAAACGGTACGGCGGCGTTTTCAAAAAACGCCTCCCGCACTTATAAGCTGCCTCAAACGGACCCTAACTCACAAATGTTTTTGTTATTGTTATATCTTTGAAATTTTAAAGAAATTATATGGTCATATTTTTTATTTAATGCAAAAGATTTTTGCTTCCATAAATGTAAAAAACAAAATTTAAGTGTCACATATGAATTGAATGATATGTATGCAAATGCCTCAAGGATTTAATATGCTATTCTTTTGATATAAACTAATAATAATTATTTGCATTATAATTACATTATTTATGAAATAAAAGTACATAATTTCATATTATATGTCAATTTTAAAACCCTTTTAATTAAAACTAGATAAATTAACAAAAATATCTAAATCAAATCCCTTTCCGTTTTATCTTTCAAATAAAAAAAAAAAAAACATTTCGACTGAACGAAGATAAAATTACAGAGAGCTTGTGCCAATGCCAGTTGACTTAGCTCAATTATGATTTGTGCTTGTGATGGTCAAAAGCCTTGGCCAACCAAGCCCCATCTGGGATAGGGCACCTTTTGCTGCATCATTTACATACATATCACACAAATCTTATATATTTAAATATCCAACTTCTGAAATTTGCTTTATTACATTTATACCACACAAATCTTCCAAATCACATTATAAGTGCCACAATTTTATATTTTAAGAATTAAATTAAACCTTTTTCATGTATAAGTATAAAGCATACATATATAAATTAAAAGTGAAGTGTTAGATATGTAAATACATAAGAATTGAGTGGTTTGTGTGTAAATCATCCTTTTTATTAATAATTAACCATCAAATGGGTATAAAAAAACTATGTTATTGACTTCATGCAGCCACTAAGAAAAAGCCACATGATGATGAACATCATTGTTTCAAAGGTAGGTCCTACCAATGAGATGCTAGAAGGATTAACAAAATCTAAAAAAGGATTAATATAATCATTAGGATTAATTTCAAAACTATATAGAAAATTTTAGTAGGAGCACTAATAAAAAATTAAAAGAAAAAACTATTTTCACTTTAACTGTACGTAAGGTTAGGGCTGTCAAAACGGCTCGTTGTTCGCGAACAGCTCGTGTTCGGCTCGTTTTGGCTCGAAATACTACTCATCATGTTTATATTTACATTGAGTAGTACTTTAAAAAATCTAATTAACTACAAGGCTACAAAGATTTATAATCAATTAAAATATTGATTAAGAAAATAGAATAAAAATTATTAAATTAGGTTCAAATGATGTTTTAATATAAATAATAATTTTTAAATATTACTCAAACCCTTATTGTCTTTTGTCTTATATTCGTGAGAAGCTCGTATTCGGCTCGTTAAGCAAACGAGCCGAACACGAACACACTTTTTGAGCTCGAAATATAAACGAGTCAAACACGAGCTGACGAGCCGAACACGAGCCGAGCATGACTCGCTCGTGTTCGGCTCGTTTACACCCCTACGTAAGGTGTTTCTTATTTTATTTTATTTTATTTATTTTATTCAAATTTTTTACATACGAAAATATTATATCTCAACGCCAAATGTTTATATAAATGTTTCAATTTAAAGAAATATGCTTAATGTTTAACGCCTTAATAGATTTATATTTAAAAAGGATTCATGATTAAATGCACTTATTATCTCAAAGATAAAGTATTATTCCATTGATTATAGCCAATATTGTCTTTTAATTTTTGAAATTAAAAATCTTAGTTCGACTTAAGATAAATAATTCAAAAATACAGAGAAGCAGCCAAAGTGACAAAATCATTTCAGCTTAAAAAAAAGCTCTATCGCCAAAAAAAAAAAAGCCGACTAAAAGAAATTTAAAAAGCCGGTTAAAAGAAATTCTTATGTATTTACCGAGGTTTTGAAAATTGGAGCGGATATTGTTAAGCGTTGGAGCCCGATTTCGCTCTCGCCTCCCGCTCTTGACTCATGCTCCCGATCGTGAAACATCGTGGCCCTAGCTCCCGCTCCCGCCTCTTCCTCTGTCGCGAACTGTTCCGGCTTCTCGTTCCTGTGCCTGATCGGGAAAGGTCGCGACCGCAACCTGTGGTTTTACGATAACCGTTGTTCACGCCGCTTCCTGGTCCCTATTCGCGAAGAGTCGCGCCTCCCTGCTGTCGCGAACCGTTCGTGCTTCCCGTCTCCTTTAAGTTGCGAACAGAAGAGAAGTAAGTTTGGACGTCACGGTGTTCTTTTTCGGTTTTCCTCGGGATAGAGGAAGGAAGGGGAAGGAAGGTGCAGAAGGAAGGTGCAAGAAGTAGTTCCTTGCGGTGAAGGAAGAAGAAAGAAGAAGAAGAAGATTGTTCTCCCTTGACTTCTTCGCTTCTTCTTGGTGGCCTGTCGCATAAGGGAAATTAGGTTTATTTCTTTTGTAAGTTTATCTTCTTCGGTATATCTTGGCGTAGAGTTTTTTCGGTGTATCTCGGTGTAGAAAGAGAAGAACAGAGAGAAAAGAAGAGAGAGCAACGAAGTGAAAGTGAGTGAAAGTGAGAGATTAGTGAAAGTGAGAGATTCCTCTTGTAAGTCGAGGTGATCGACTGGTGTAAATTCCTCATGTAGTAAAATCCTCTGCAACTTCATGGACGTCGAACCACGTAAGAACCACGTAAATTTGTACGTTCTTTTCTGGTGCGAATTTTCTCGTTCTATTTTTTGCTTCAAAGATCGTTCTCCTGTTTGATATATATATATATATATATACCACATCAACAATTGGTGTATATCTTATCCCACAACAACTGGTGGTGTATATTCAATCTCGCAACAGATATTGAACAAGAGGAGGAGGTTCAAAGTTCAAAGCTTGAACTGAGGTTGAACCGGGTTATGCCATAAGTATAAAAAATATTAAACATAGCTTAAATGACATAATAATGTCGTCGTATGTGTAGTATCAAAAATATATTTTGAAATATAAATTATATATGAATTTAAACAATTAATTTAAATGACTATAAAAAAGAAGAACAATTAAGTTTTATAGATAGAAAATGATGCTAAGATCTCGCCAGGACAAAACAAGTCCGTACCAGAGGTAAAAATGTGTTAGTTGGTCGCGCCGCATCAGTCGATCAGCTAAGTTCTCTGCTTCGGACACCTTACGTCAATCAGTAAGCTAGAACTCTTCTCTAGCCACCTCACGTTAGTCGGCTGACCAGTTCTTTCAAATGACCGATTAATTCCATCACGAATCTCGACGTTGTCGAATGATCAAATTAAAATAGACTAAAATGCCCTTTATTTTTTCTCTTTAAAACATGACAAAATATATAATTTTTATATTTTTTACCGCTCATATCTTAAAAAATAGAAGGATTTCATGATGTAAGGGGACCCTTTTTTGGGGGTCTCCTCCCACTTGTAACTCAAATTTTCAAGGGAATAAAGTGAGGCGAAGAGCCCCAAGAACACCCCAATTTCTCTCTGTCAGTGGAATTCTTCCTTTTCATCTCTCTTTCTCGCCCTCTCTCAATATTTTTCCTTTGTTCCAACTCTCCATTTCTTGGGCATGACTAGCAAGACAAATTTGGAGTCAACACAAGTATTATAATCTAAAAAATATCTCTGAAAAAACTCTTAAAAAAAATAAACCGATTAAACGGTTGGACCACCCGTTTATTCGGATTTAATGACAAGACTATTTTTAGGCCACTCGGAACCGGTCCTTCAACTGATTCATGGTTGAACCGGCCAGTTCAGTCCGATTTTCTAAACTATGGTATTTACATCACTATCACCTAAAATTCCATATTTGTAAACATAGCACTCAAATCTTTTGCATTACATAAAAAAAATAGTTCTTATTTCTTTTAAAAGTGAATTATATATATATATATATATATATTTATGCATAGGTTGACACCAAAGTTTTATATATATATATATATATATATATATAAATCTTTCCGAGCTATTGTCGCCAGCAAGCATCAGTAGCAACAATAAAATTTGTTGGTACCCTATGTTTCTTTGTATTTCACTCTCTTATTTTCTCACGGCCATCCATGTGAGATGTAATAGATATTACTGCTTAGAATTAAAATAAACGATATGCATACGTCCAAAATCTCTTTTGAAATTTTTATCAATCATCACAGTTGTTCTTTTTATCACAATTAGTATCTCTTAATTCAACACTTCGCTCAAATAACTCTTTTGTCATGATTTAGAAGCTTTGAATACTAAGGCTAGAACAAGCAGTCTGATTTGAGTTTTTAGTTATTCTAGTTATATTAAAAATCATCAAAATGATTTATCATAAACTTTCATGAAAATCAACTTACAATATTTTAGAAGTGCCAATAATCTATAAGTTTTGCTTGTTCCAATATCATAATAAATATACCAAATTTTTTTTGGCCACATCCTTAGAGTATTAATACATATCACTTATTATTTCGAGTCAACTGTACTCAAATCTCCATCTCTCACTCATTTAAACTCCATATTATCTGTCTATATATTGATTGAATAATAAGTATGCTATAAAAGTAACTTAGTAGGTAATTAATAATTTTAAATCATATTTATTCATTTGAAAAAGAAATAAATTGCATGCTAGTCATTTTGTTTAAGTTGTATGGATCTTCTAAATTTTGGCTTTGCATTTCAAGAACAATTATGACCAAAAAATTATTTAATAACTTAAATTATCTATAGTCAATGAATTATAGTATTTTGCTTGTTTCTTAGAGCTTGTGTGGGCAGTTAGTTTATCATAATTTGTACTTCTGTATATAGTTTAATACATTCATCTATGGAGCATTGTTTATGCATACTCCTAACTCATAGTTGGCTGATGCGCCCCAATCGGCTCAGTGGACTGTCGCTGATAAATCTATTTTTATTAGGTGGTATGTAAAAGTTATTAATGTACATATGTTTTAGTGTTCTTAGCTAGTATTATAAGATAGTGATTCAATCTTTCATTATGCATATGCAAACATTTATATATATATTGTTTCATTTGCATTTTTCTTAGTATATAAGTTCTTTTTGGGTAATTTACATTCATGCCACAAAATTCTTCTGTATGTACATATCTAACACCAAAACTTTCATATTCATATGTATATCACTTTGATGTTGTAGACCGATGCATAAAAAAGCATATTTCCCTTTTTAAAATTTACTAAGAGTGATTTTTTAGGGGCATTTACATACTGCACACAATTCTTATGTATTTGTACATCTCATACAAAAATTTTCATATTTGCACACATAACACTCAAATCTTTGATATCACATAAAAAAATAGCACAATTACAACTTTTAAGAAGTGAAATGCACCCTTTCATAGGTTTAAAGCTATATATATATATATATATATATGTAAATATGAAAGTTAATGTATAAGAACGTGTCGTGTGCATGGAAATTTCTCAATATAAAATTGTGAACTTTACCGAAAAAAGAAAAAAAAAACATAGAAACAAAGGTTTAAACGAGAAAAAGGAAGCTTTCCTTAACACTTCACAAAAATAAATAAATAAAAACATCCGATTAAACATCATTATCTTCTCTTAATTTTCGTTAAGAGTGCTTCTATTGCTCAAAAGTTAATTAAATATGCTCCTTTCTAAAATCAGTTCTTCCCTTCAAGGGTTTAAAAAACTCAATAAAATTAGTCCATCACTTTAGGGAATTTCTTGGATTAAAAAGTTTTTAATGAAATTTTATTCAAATTAATTTTCATTTTAATTTTATTCCGAGATTATTATAATTTAAGAAATAATTAATCAAAACTTATATGATACCCTCGTTACGGTTGCCTTGACTCTTACATAAAGCTCTTCCCAAACCTCTACAAGTCCCTCACTTTGAAACATAATTTGATACTCAAAATTAATTGCTAAATTAATTGTTCTTAATTCCTTCTATGATTTGGTGCAGAAAAGAAAAGAGAATAATTAGTAGACTTCATTAATTATTTGATTAATTCTTTAATGAGCCTAATGACATGATGAAATTAATAAATAAACATGCTATCTCTCCTTGTTATTCCTCTTCGGCATTGGTGGTTTTCCAAGTTCAACTTCTTGTGTGCTTCGATTTGAAGCTCTCGGGTAGAGAGAGAGAAGGAGAGGAGGAGAAGAGAGAGAGAGTATTTTCTTGTAATTGTAGAGATGATCGACGTGTGTAATTCTCCAAGCTAATAAAATCCTATGCAACTCGGTGGATGTAAACAATTTGCCGAACCATATAAATTTGTGTGTTTCGCTGTTTTATGTTTTACAATTTTTTTTGGTCCGATTTTTTCCTTTATTCTGGTCGTTTTTTCACAAAAAACACAACTGTATGCAGGGATTCACGATGGTCTTTCATAAGAAACACCATCACCTCTCTGTATCAACCCTCCCATCTTTCCAGCCTCATCCCCACCATGCAATCCCACATAGATCTTCTCCTCTTAAATATCTCAAATGCTGAGAAGAAAGAAGAAGACATTCCCTTCTCCGAGCTTACTCTAAGAATGGCCATTGACATAATCGGGGAGACAGCTTTCGGTGTTCTGTTTTTCCTCTCCCATGAAGCTTCCTTCAAAAAACAGCATATCGAATCGCGAATCGACGAAGAAAGTGATGAAGAAGATGAAGTTTCATCCTTCCTAAAGCAACACATGCGCTCCATCAACTCCCTTAAGATGGATCTATCAAGTTCCTTCTCTACATCACTCGGCTTAGTGGTTCCCATACTACAAATTCCCTGCAGAAACATACTTCAGCTTATACCAGGAACTGCTGACTATAAAGTGAAGCAGACAAACAAGAAGCTTTGTCAGAGAATTGATGCTATCATTGCAAAGAAGTCAAGCGAGAGGAATCAATGCTGCAAGGATTTCTTATCTACAGTGCTTGCAGCGAGAGAATCGAGCATTGGGAAGAAGGTCTTCACGCACAACTACATTCGCGCGCTTACATATGAGCAACTGCTTGCTGGAACGAAGACAACTGCGTTTACATTGGCGATGGCTGTTTATCTGATATCTAAGCATGCAGATGTTGAGAGAAAGCTGATCGAAGAGATTGATGGATTTGGCTCTGCTCATCTGATTCCTACTGCCGAAGATCTTAATTGCAGGTTTCCCTATCTGGATCAGGTATTGCTTCTGCATCTACTTTTGTAACAATCTCTTGTAATTCTTTTGTTTGCTCTTCTAGATTCAACGGTGTGGTATGCATCCTTTCAAAGCTGCTGAAATTCTATAAAAATATGATCTTTCTAAAATGTGAAAAAGAAATAAAACGCCGAAGAAATTTTTTGATAGAGCCATTCATCGATCCCATTCTTCAAAATGTAGCATCTCACCAACCACACTATTAAACAAATTTACACTTTTATAAATGTTAAATTTTTGCAGGTAGTGAAGGAGACCATGAGGTTTGTGACAGTTTCACCATTAGTAGCTAGAGAGGCATCCCAAAAACTTGAAATTGGAGGCTATATTCTTCCAAAGGTACAAAACATCACTCAAATGGCTACTTTCTCAAAATCAAACATAGATAACTATTCGGCTGAACTCTCTCCTTCTCACTATACAGGGTACATGGGTGTGGCTTGCACTGGGGGTTTTAGCCAAAGATCCCAAACAATTCCCAGACCCTGAGGTATTCAGACCAGAGAGGTTCGACCCCAATTGCGATGAAGAGAAGAGAAGGAATCCATATGCTAACATACCATTTGGTATTGGTCCAAGGGCTTGCATTGGGCAGAAGTTTGCACTGCAGGAGATCAAGCTTGCTCTCATTTGCCTATACCGTAATTACTTGTTCAGACACTCAGCTAAGATGGAATCTCCTCTTGAGCTTGAGTATGGTTTAGTTTTGGGATTCAAGCATGGGGTTAAGATAAGAGCTATTAAGAGGATAGTCTAGTGTGATAAAATCATTAGTGCTATACATATTCATGGGTATTTATGTGTGATCTATACATGCATATATGGAAAAATTATTAAGTGTGGAGTTCGCACCTGTGGACTTCGCTGAGGTCTCTCTCCTCCTTTCAGCGGACTAATAATTTTTCGTATATATGGGATTAAGTAGAGTTTACACTTTTTTTTTTTTATTTCTCTTGTAAGATATAGTCATTGCATTAAATAGAACTGATATTGATAACGATATATGAATGCGTCCATGATGTATTTACGGGTAATGGCGTGGTGAAGTTATCATTATCATTATCATCATTGACTTTGTCCAAACTATTTGAGATCATCTTTATGAATCCTTACATTTCATTTGTCTATATTGAGTGCATCTTTGAGTGTCATATCTATATTTTGTAAATTATTTTGAGCACCCATTCATATTAACTTAACACTGCCGTTGCCGGTCCCAAGCCCGGATGAGAAAAGTGGAGGGTTGCGTTAGGTAGTCGACAGCCAGCGTAAAACTTGTCGAAAAAATCATGACATGAATCCTTTTGATCTTTGTGTAAGTGCTAGGGCGTCCCCTGGAAGTGACGCACTGTATAGCCTGAATACAGTGAAAAGTGTGCAAGGGCCGCTACACCGACGCCCGGGTGTAGTGTTAAATAAGCAAGGGTTCCCACATTACGGGCGAATGCGGGTAAAGAAGTTAGTCCATGAAACTAAGGAAACTAATATTAGGATAGGATCTTGGAATATAGGCACTCTCAATGGTAAATTAATGGAATTAGTTGATATTATGATTCATAGGAAAATTAATATCTTATGTATTCAAGAAACTAAGTGGGTGGGAGAAAAGGCTAAGGAGATTGATAATTTAGGTTTTAAACTTTGATATTCTGGTAAGAG